TTTCAACCAACTTTTGTTTCTTATAAATAGTCCAAAACAGAATAACACTTATTTTTAAGTTCAACTTCTGTTTCTTATGACCATGAGACCATCACCATAGCACTTGATATGTACTATATAAGGCCATCACAGAATGCAGTCCCAAACAGTCCAAAACAGAATAGCATCTTGAAAGAAAAAAACTTGACAAATACGTATGCACACACACATTCTTATGGGGCTGTTTACTACTGTTGATTCATTTGCAAAGAGTCTAAGCATATAGCTTCCATAATCCATACCGTAAAATGATAGAACCATTGAGGTCGAGTCATCAACTATATGCCTAAAATCAAGATAGCACCCATATAACACAACAGAATGTAAAAGAATGGATTATGCATTTCAACAAATAACTTCCAGTTCCAGGAACATGTTTAGAACAAGGATGAGAAAGAATGCAAGTCCGATTTTCTATGTAAATCAAGAACATGTTTAGGACAAGATTTTCTATGTAAATCAAGAAAGAGAATTCAGAAAGCAAAACCTTACCTCAGAGAAATTGCTAGGGCTTTGAAGAAGCTGTGTAGAAATCAAAACCTCCAAAGCCTAGTTATATGCAACGCTGAAGACTTCTTGGGAACCTCCCATTTGTGCAAGGTTTGCAGCCATTGAAGAAATCTAATGCTGACCTTACTATTTTCGATTTGGCTCAGGAAATTTCATGAAGAAGAAGCTGGAAAAGAAGAAAATAGAGAAAGGTTTTTCAACTTACCCAAAATGGTTTGGCGGGGAYRGGATTGGAGCAGAGTATTCATGAGGAAAAAGGTAGAAAAGAAGAGAACATAAAAAGCATATTTGACCTTAACCAAAATAGAAGCTCTGCATTTCTCTCTTAAAGTCCATGCATAAAAAGGTTGTACCATATGCTTTATGACTTGTCTTTAAGAGATTTTTGAATTTGGTGCATAAAACCATTGTACCATATGCTTAGTAACTTGTATTTAAGACAGTGATCTAAATGGTTATATATGTAGTATAGATATAAGTGAATGTTCAAACGAGAACCCCTATGATTTACGAAAACGCGAGAATAACCTAATAACCTCAAACTTTTTTAATTAATAAATTAACTTTTATTATATATAAATAATTTAATAAGGACAGTAATGTAATTAAGTAATTTTTATAATTTTTATTTTATTTTAATTAATCATAATTATCCTATCACGTTTTCACGTTTTACTCTTGTTAGTTTTCTTCTTCTCCATGCTGTTCATGCTTTTTCTCCATATCATATCCATATCACATGATTATCACATGATTATCACATCCATATCACATGATTACACCAAAAACTTAACTTATCAACCAAACGATAACCCAAGTGGTGTATAACGGTGATTATCACACTCATATCACATGATTATCACACCTATATCACATTATTACACCAAAAATTTATCACATGATTATCGTGTAATCGTGTTAAAATATTTGATGATATCATTTCCATTATTWCCCTTTTAATTTTAATATTTTTTGAATCTTTTTAAATTTCAATTTTAATTTTAAAAATCTTTTAATTTTATTTTTTATCACAATATGAGATTATTGGGTTGTTCTCGCATTCTTGTACATCACATGGGTTCTCGTTTGAACCCTTCCCTATATATATATATATATATATATATATATATAAATGTGTGTTTTACGAATAATATTATAACAAAACTTATTACTAATTAAGAAATGAAAGACACGTAATATAATATGCAATGGAATTAGGTTTTGGTAGCATTCAAAGGCGGCACGTTTGATATTTCATATATAGACGCGTTCAAAGTGACTTGTTCCTAATATGACATATCTTGGTTCTACGTTTGCTATAAATAGAGACCTTAAACAATTCTAATTCAAATTAATGTACATCATATCAAAAACATATATTAGAAAGGTATATCAAAGTTAACGACAATTAAGGTGAGTATGTTTATAATATTTACTGGATACGTATATGTTATATAAATGTTTTTATGCATAATATCTCGAAATGATCGATGTTTTGGCAAATTTACTTTTATAATGCATTTATGAAAAAAAAAACATGTATTTTACATATGGTATATGAAAAGTTTTGTACATATGAAAGTATGGCCATATTAAATACCCAACGGGGTATAAGAATGGAGGATGTCTTGAAAACGTACCTCAGGAGGAATATCCTTCGTGAAACTCCAGGGATCTAGGATCCTATTGAGAATGTTTGGCATATTTACATAGATGAGATTTCGCACCAAAAGATGATGTTTTATAGAATTGGTTTTATGATAAATGTTGTTATGCATGATTGTCGTAAGTGTATTGAATTATTTTTCATCCACTAAAATAATATGTTCTATGAAAGATGGTTTTCTTCATGAAACCGTAATCGCTCACTAAGCTTAATGCTTACCTATTCCATATATGTATCTTTGGTAATATCAAATTAACATGATGAGTTATAGTTCTTACATAAGCATTATATGTGTTAGGCTATTAAACTATTGTTTGAATGCTTTAGTAAATGTTAATTTATGATGTTATTATATCAAACTAATGAATTAGTAAATTATAAGAAATTTTTGAGTTTGCATACAAATAATGGAAAAGGAAAAGAAAGCTAGTTGTTGACGACACCTTAGGTTATGAAAATCAGGTGTCACAACTAATATGGCAACCACTTCCCATGATGACTAGAACGTACATGTTGCTTTATGTTTTTCCTTCCAAAATATCAAAATTCTAAAGTTTGGGTTCTAGATTCAGGAGCTACTTAATATAAATGCAGTAACAAGAAAATATTCGTTAAAATTAGAATCAAATTACAACACATTTGATTGGCGACATACATGTGACATGATATTTAACACTAAAAGACGTTTTACCGACAAAAAGATTTTTGTTGAGTTTCTCCTTGAACGTGTTTTTATTAAGGAATAATTCATCCAGAAGGCGATTGTCAGGGGTAAAAATATTGAAGGACTCTATATTCTTAATGTTGAAGAACCTAATCCAACAATCATAGTAAATGCAGTATCACTATAGATCTGACATCAACGGTTTGGTCATCCTTCGCACAAGAAGGCCAATACCATCAAAAATCAATTGGAAAATTAGAAACTCTTTTAATGCTTCAAATCACTAGGAAGTTTCCTTTTGTTTTCATCAATAATAACACCAATAATGCTTTTGATCTTATTCAATTGCGACATCTGGGTCTCTTCCATATTGTTTCTCATAATGGTTTTTGGTATTTTGTGACCATTGTAGATGATAGTACAAGTTTTACCTTGGTTTATTTGCTTAAGCACAAATTTGAAGTTCAAATGGTGAAAGAAATGATCTCTTCCCATTAAATGTGATACCTAAGCCTATTTTTGTTGATGAGCCTATATAAAGTTATGCCAATGTCGCCAATATTACAGTCGATATTTCTGTATTATTTCCACCAGAAACATTTGTTGAAGCTCTTGATATTCCTACTCAATTACAATAGGTACCTGTATGGTCAAATAGAAATCATGCTAAGCCCTTGTATATGAGTGACTACCATCGTAATTTGGTCGATTCGGTTGTCTCATCAAACAAACCATACTCCTTGTCTAAATTGCGTTATTAGTGTATGTTGATGATGTCCTACTTACATGAGCTTCTATGGATGAAATTAACTTGGTAAAAGCAAGAATCAGTCAACAGTTTAAGCTTAAAAATTTGGGCTTATTAAGGATTTTTCTTGGATTTAGAAATTGCTCGATTTGAGGATGGAAGTTTATTTTGCAATGTCAATATACACTTTAGCTACTTGAGGATTCAGGATTGTTGGGAGCTAAACCAAGAAAGTATCCACTGGATCCTACCATTAGGTTGTCAAATGACGAAAGAGAGTTGATTCCTAGTCCATCACATTATCGAAGATTAGTTGGCTGTTGATTTACTTAACAATCACACGACCAAACATTATATTCGTAGTTTAGAAGTTGAGTCAGTTTATGAGCTTATGAAGACTACCACATATCTGAGCAATCCATTCTCTTCTACGATATCTAAAACTAGTTCCTGGTCAAAGGGTTTTCTTATCAACCAAATCTTTTATGGATATAAAGGTATTTTGGTGATGGTGGTTGGACCTCAACATATAACTCAAAGCGCTTTCTGACTCAGATTGGACCACTTGTCTAGATACCAAGCGATCAATCATAGGCTATTGCATATTTTTTGGTGATTCTTTGATATCTTTGGCATTCCAAAAAGCAATCAGTAGTAGCTCGATCATGAACTAAAGCCGAGTATCGAACTATGGCATCCACTACATGTGAACTTGTTTGGTTACAACGTCTTCTACATGATCTGGTTATTTCACATGACAGTCCTGCCTTAATGTTTTGTGATAATACATCATCCATACAATTGGCTTCTAATCCTTCCATAAACGTAGTAAACACATAGAACGGGACTGCCATTTCATATGTGAGAAGATCATTGATAACATTGTCAAGTTACTTCTAGTTCGTAATCATCACCAATTAGCCAGTATGTTTACCAAAGCATTGCCATAATACATGTTTGTGCCTTTGATGTCCAAGATGGCTCTCAAAGATGTCTTTCCAGGCTCATCTTGAGGGGGAGTATTAGATGCACTATAAGATACAGAATTGGAAGATTGGTCATTTCACTTGTATGTTTAAAAGGGTTCCTGTAGCTTATAAAGTGCAAGTGATCATATGTCATGTACAAGTAGCAGACGATAATTCTTTGTATATGAAAACAAGATAACTCTTTGTAAACTAAAGAAGACCAATTTTCATATTTTAGCCATAGTTTCTCCTCTTCTCGGTTTCTTGTTCTCTTGATTCAAGAGTCATAAAACCTAATAAATACAACAATTTCGAAAGACTTCATCCTTTCATATGTTTCAATCTTTTATATTTTACCCCTTTTTCTTGGGGTTCTACATTTATGTTTTGCGTGACAATGGAATATTCATGTGATCAGTCTTGCCCTTCCTAATCTTTATTAGTCAACTCCATAAACACAAACCAACACAAATAAAAACATGTACACTTTCAAATTCTATGGTGGAAGGAAATAAAACGAGCAAAAAACTGATACATGCCTACATGGGAAACATTTTTGGTGTCAACAGCACTATTGTCTTGTGATCTTCTTGGAAAGAACGAAAACAGAGAGCCAAACAAGTAGTAGAAGTGCTACTGATGGTAAGGCTGACAGAACGACGGAGGCTGCAACATGACCGCAAAAGGAATCATAGATGTCGCAAACTTTGTTCCATCTCGTATGAGAGTTCCCTTTGAATCCTATGTAAGCTACTGCTCCAGCTGCTCCTGTTGCTGAAGCCATGATTGCCAATAGCAGCTGCACCATACCCATGTTATACGCTAATTAGTTCATTCTTTTAATTTATGCAATCCCAAAAACAACAAAGTTTCATCTCTCAATCAAATAACATTTAAAGAAATAACTAATACTGTCAAGAGCTTACGGCATCAAGTATCACAAAGTGAAACAACACCTCTGCGGAGCTTCCTTTTCGCTTTATGAGTGCTAAAATTGATAACACGCCGGTGATGACGCTGTACAAGCAAGCCACTGAGAGTGCTGCAACGTAATATCTGCATCATAACCAAAACAATAATGTAATGTCATACAGTACAACAAAATCAGCTTTATAGGTCATATTATGTATAAATGTCCTAGTAAATGGCTTAATAGAACTTATGTTAGAAACAAACAACTTTGCATCCAACATAATGTGTTAGAATAAGTTAAAATGGTGTTTTTAGACGTCTTAACAAGTTTTTTTTTTTAAACATTCTTATAGTAAAACATCTTATTTGTCTTTTTATATGACATTATTTGAAAAAATGTTCGATAAAAAAGATTTTTAAATAAACAAAAACTAATATGGCTGCTAAACAACTTCTTAAGATGTCTATATATACATTATAACATATAGAACCCACAATTCTTTAGTTTTATAAAACAATTTATAAGGATATTTAGATATCTTTCGCGTCTTGTAAAAACGATTTTATTATACGTGGGGATATATATATATATATATATATATATATATATATATACACGTTGGGGCTAAGGTTCACTGGTTAAAACTGATGTTACTTACATGAAAGCTGGGGACTGAGTGAATTTTGCATCCAACGGTATAACCAGGCCTGGCGCAACTGGTATCATCTTGGTTTGCTTAGAAGTGACCATAACAAAGACGCCAACCAAGGTAGTAGCAAATAGCATGACCCTCAAGACCACATCAACCACCACATGGTGCTTCAAACCACTTGCACCCATGTACGATGGTGGTGACGCTGGTGACTTCACGGTGGAATGTGGTGGAGTTGTGGTGCTCTTGGATGCCATGGCCGCCGGACTGGAGAAAGCGGCAAATTAAATTAACTAACCTGAAGTTTGTGTTTATGACAAGCGTGGTTTGATGTGTGCAATCCTATCTACTTTTATACTAAAACTAGTCAACTGCCTTGTATGATTATTGTAGGATGTTCAAACAAGCATACATGAATTCGACGTCATTTATATATTTTACCTGAAAAAAATCCGATTCAAGGTTGCCTCCAAAATTGACCGGATTACTTAAATTGAGAATCATATATTTGTTTGAATTAATATATCTCCAACTCAAAATTCTTTTGCCCATCATCAGATTCATATTGATTAAATAACTTTTGTCAACTTCAATCGAATTATATATATCATGAACAAAACTCGTTTATCATTCAATCTTTCTATATTGAGTCTTTTCAAAAACTAAAACAAGATGGAAAAGAAACTTTAGGTTCCGACATGCATCTATGGCTTTATCATCGTGGCAGGTGTCCTAATTTTTTTAAGGTGATGGTAAAAGGTTTCATGACATTTTGGATTCATCGATCAAAAACACTAAAATATCATATGAAACAGTCAAATTAGGGACAAATGAATCAAAAAGAAAACGTTAAGAAACTAAAACAACAGGCTACCCACATTTAAATATGTCATCAATATATAATTATTTTGTTTTTATTTTTTTGTCATCATTTTATATGATGTTGATTATAACGTATAAAGTTGAACTATTTGAATACAATTTTTTGTGTATTTTTTTAAACAACCTCATGTTTGTTGGTTTATAGTTTTTATTTATAGTCGATATTTTATTACTAGAATCTAGAGTAAACTACACTTTTGGTCCTTATGATTGTCATCCACTAACAATTCTAATCCTTCTTTTGAAATAATTATAGTTTTGGTTATTGTGGTTGCTATTTTGTAACATTTTTGGTCCCTCGGTCTAACTTCTATTAAATAGGTCCGTTAACTCAAGGGTATGTTCATCTTTTTGATCCTTTTTTGTCTTTTTCCTATTTTATTTTATTAAAACAATATTTTTTTTATCCCCTAACCCTAGTTTTAAAACAAGAAGCCAAACAACACTCATAATGGTTGTAGGTTGTTACTCGAATCCACCAATCTGAGACCTCCTCCGCCTACTTCTATTGCCCTTGCCCTTTTCTCACGGTCTCAGCATCCCTATGAACTACCATATCTCATGGGTTGGTTATTTGAAGGGAACAGGGACGGTGAAGCCTGTTGTTGTAAAATAAGGAGAGGACCAACGGTGATGGTTATCGCTGGGGAAGAAGGGGTGGGGTTTCGAGTTCTGACATGTTAGTTTAAGGGGTAAGAGAGAAGGGAAATTTGTGTGTGCATAACTTTCATCCCATGTTTTCCTTACTCTTTAATCCTTATTTGCACGGTTTGTGGGTTTTAGACATCATTTTGATTTTTTATTTTATTTTGATTTGGTTGGATTTTATTGTGGGTTTGATTTTTGATTTTGTTGGATTTCATTTATTCGCCGAAGAATATGAATCTTGCTGGAGAAGATGACTAGGGTTGAGGAATGTAAAAAGCATTAAAAAATAAAATAGGAAAAAGACACAAACGATTGAAAAGACTAAGAATACCTCTTGAATTAACAGACCTATTTAATAAAACTTAGTCTAGAAACCAAAATTGAAACAACATGGCAACCATAGTGACTAAAATTGTAATTAGTTCAAAATAAGAACGAGGGTTGCTAGTGGATGACAACCACATAGATCAAATGTGTAATTTACTCTAGAATCTATTTTTAACATAATTCTTTTTAGTAAACATTTCGTTTAACTTTATCAATGATATTGATTTTACAGTAAATTATTTGGTTGGTTCTTGTGATTTGTTCATAATCTTCCTGTCTTGTTTCAACGAATTAGACTAAGCATCCTCGTCGTTTGCATTTGTTACAAGTTTGGTCCTTGTCTTTAACATCATTAAATCTAATATGTTAATGCAGGGACATTTTGATCATTTTAATCACTTTCTCTATTTTCTTTAAAAAAACATTGAATAATTCACTAAAACTATCCCACGTTATCCCTCCAACCTCACCCACAACAATCTCCTTCTTCGGCCTCCTTCTCCGGCAACCATCGAAGAGGCTTCAGTGAACTTCTTCACCTTAGTTGTTTTCACAACTTTTTTACCTTAGCTGGCGGACCAGATTTGTTAGCTGAAGGACACTTACTGGCCGTATGTGAAGTTTCACCACAATGACGACACTTCCTAAAGCTAAAAGAAGATTTAGGGCCAAAAGGGTCAGAGAGAATAGAAGAGGGGCAAGCTCCAAGGATTCCTTTCTCATTTGTTCGAGTAGGAATAATTGAGGGTTTAGATACTTTGGGTGAAAGATTCACTTTCAGCTTTGGCTTTTATCTCTGAGAGGGTTTAGAAACCTTGGTCTCTGAGGAAAAAGGTTTACAAACTGAAGGAATAGATCTGGGTCTATTTGACTTGTTGGCCTTCTTGAGAAAAGGAGCGCTGACAATGGATTTACCTTTGTCTTTGCGTCCTGAACTCAAGGGAGTTCCTTCAAGAAAAGTCTAAGTGGAAGAGTACTGAGAGGAAGAGGTGTCAGGAATAGAAGAGACAAAAGTACCAAACTTCAGCATGGATTTGCTAGTGACACTTTCTTCCCGATCATAGGAGAATCCTAGACCACTCCTTATCTTGGCATGGATCTGAGCGTTGAAGATCTTAGAGGCCTGGATAGAGGTTTTGCACCATCCTTTAATGGTAGCCTTTTCAGCCTTGAGTTCAGCAATTGCTTGCTCACGCTCAACGATATCCTGCTCGCGTTCGATGTTTATGGTCTAGTTTACAATGACCTGATCCTTAAGATTTTCCTCAATCTTGGTCAGCTCTTTGATCTTTGAATGACATTTCACTAATTGTTCATGAAGATCAATATTAAGCTTTTTAGCTTTGGATTTGCCCATTTAGGGTATTGTAAATGATAATCGTCAGCGTATTTAGTGCACATAGGCTATCAAAAGAATAAGAAGAGGGTTCATTCAGGGTACATACTTGAGCAGGGATTGATGACGAGAGATCACTAGAGAATAATGTCTCTAATGGTTCATCTTTGACATCCTTGGCCATGAGACAGAAGTAGGCCATGTCTTTCTCGTCAGAGGATGATTCATCAGAAGAATCAGCTCAATCATGCTCTTCAGCAACAAGACCTTTGCTTTTAAACTGAAGATTCTTCATCTTCTTATACTTCTCCTTCGGTTTCAGGTACTTGTCCTCTTGAGGACTGAAGGAGGATGGGAGGTGGGAAGATGGCGTCGCAGTTTTCTTCAACCTGCATTCACTCGCAAAGTGACCTTTGCATTGATAGTTGTAGCAGCTCGCTGAAGGCTTGTCAATGGGGTTTGACTTTGGCTTTTCAGCTATGGCCAGTGAAGCAGATCTGCTGTAATTGCTTTTTCTGGCTAACCTCCTGAAAGAGTTACTTAGAAGAGCCAGCGACTCATCAAACTCTGAAATATCAGCGTCTGATAGGACCTCGGAGTTAGAAGGATCTAACTCAGTGATAGAAACATAAGAAATAGAAGGAGTAGAAGAAATAGAAAGGTTAGCCGAAGGGCTATCAAAGATCAAAGCTAACAGAGAGATTTTCATTTCCCTAGAGTCTTTGAGAAGATTCTTCTTCAGCTGATGGGATTGCTCGTGATTAAAAAATATCCCATAAAAAGAACTGAGAGAAAGGGAGGACATGTCCTTGGACATCTTGAGACACATGGTATACTGACCACATGTTTCTCACAAACATTCAAGGAATTTTGTCAGTGTCTCGGAGTTGGAATATTCTCTTCCAACTATCCTCAAATCAATAAGAAGAAAATTAAATCGTTGATGTACTTCAGACAAAGATTCAGTTTTTCCACAAAGAAAATTTTCATATTGTCTTACTAGATTAATCTTCCTCGATTCTCGTACTTCAAAAGTACCTTCATATTGAACATAGAGAATGTTCTACATGGTTTTGAGGTTTAAAGCTTCATCACAGAGTGATATACCTCGTCAGAAGAGCCATGGATATTATAGACCTCACACGAGTGTCTAAATCCACATTCTTCTTGTCTTCATCATTCCATTGATGAGGGAGCTTTGAAATCTGCTGTTCAGGAATTGCGGCAGTCGTAGCAATTGCAGGAACTGCTGGAGAGATAGTGGATGGAACATAAGGTCTATTATCTATATAGTATGGAATCTCAGGATCCACACCTTCCAAAAATAGAACATCCGGTTCTTCTAGAGACTAAAATTGTCTCTAATAAATTGGGAAAGTTTGGCAAGAGAGCCGTTATCGTGAAAGTTTGTACTAGTGTTTTGCAAAGCCATTTTGAAAGGAATAAATTATCTAGAGAAAAGGAGATAATAAAACACCAATAAAACAACAATACAACACAAAAGAAAACACTGCTCTGATACCACTTGTTGGTCCCAGCCGGATCTACAAGAGTTTATAGGTAACAGTTTTTAAGGGGGGGAATAAATACAAACACAGTAACTTTCACTTTTAAAAATTATATATTGATAAAGAAGATCAATAAAATTTTTACAAATTGTTTGCAGAAGAGATAGGATATAAAAACCTATCTAAACAATCTAAGATACACACAAAATTACAGATAGCAATAAAAAAAGACTTACTACAAGAAATAAGGTAAGAAGAAATGTGCTCTTCACTTGTTAAAGTAGGTCTTTCTTTGAGACAAAGAGTAGATAGAGAAGTAACTTCTTGGCTAAGTTTAGAGTGAGGAAAATGATAACTGAGAGGAGAACTGCTCAGCTATTTATATCCATTGCATTAAATGCAATTCAGAAAGTACATAAGATTTTAAAGGAAAATTTGTCCTTTGTTACAGTATATAGTCCTTTTGGCTGTATATGAATAGTTCTCTTTCATAAAGTAGGTAAGCACGTTTAGAGTCAAAGAAGTGACTCCATACTATACTATACTTAGAAAGTTATGGGTTTGTCCTTTGTATGCAGAAGGACAAGACAAAAGCTAATCTTGCTCGACAAGATT